ATTAACGTATAGCAATGTAATGTAACGCATAGTAACGTATAGTAACGCATAGTAACGCATAGTAACGTATAGTAACGCATAGTAACGCATAGTAATGTAATGTAACGCATAGTAACGCATAGTAACGCATAGTAACGCATAGTAACGTATAGCAATGTAATGTAACGCATAGTAACGTATAGTAACGCATAGTAACGTAATGTAAGGCAATGTAATGTAACGCATAGTAACGTATAGTAACGTATAGTAATGTAATGTAACGCATAGTAACGCATAGTAACGTATAGCAATGTAATGTAACGCATAGTAACGTATAGTAACGCATAGTAACGTATAGTAATGTAATGTAACGCATAGTAACGCATAGTAACGCATAGTAACGTATAGTAATGTAATGTAACGCATAGTAACGCATAGTAACGTATAGTAATGTAATGTAACGCATAGTAACGCATAGTAACGCATAGCAATGTAATGTAACGCATAGTAACGTATAGTAATGCATAGTAACGTATAGTAATGTAATGTAATGCATAGTAACGCATAGTAACGTATAGTAATGTAATGTAACGCATAATAACGCATAATAACGCATAGTAACGCATAGTAACGCATAGTAACGTATAGCAATGTAATGTAACGCATAGTAACGCATAGTAACGCATAGTAACGTAATGTAATGTAACGCAATGTAATGTAACGCATAGTAACGTATAGTAATGTAATGTAACGCATAGTAACGCATAGTAACCCATAGTAACGTATAGCAATGTAATGTAACGCATAGTAACGTATAGTAACGCATAGTAACGTATAGTAATGTAATGTAACGCATAGTAACGCATAGTAACGTATAGTAATGTAACGCATAGTAACGCATAGTAACGTATAGTAATGTAATGTAACGCATAGTAACGCATAGTAACGTATAGTAATGTAATGTAACGCATAGTAACGCATAGTAACGTATAGTAATGTAACGCATAGTAACGCATAGTAACGTATAGTAATGTAATGTAACGCATAGTAACGCATAGTAACCCATAGTAACGTATAGCAATGTAATGTAACGCATAGTAACGTATAGTAACGCATAGTAACGTATAGTAATGTAATGTAACGCATAGTAACGTATAGTAATGTAACGCATAGTAACGTATAGTAATGTAATGTAACGCATAGTAACACATAGTAACGTATATCAATGTAATGTAACGCATAGTAACGTATAGTAACGCATAGTAACGTATAGTAATGTAATGTAACGCATAGTAACGCATAGTAACGCATAGTAACGTATAGTAACGCATAGTAACGCATAGTAATGCATAGTAACGTATAGTAACGCATAGTAACGCATAGTAACGCATAGTAACGTATAGTAACGCATAGTAACGTAATGTAATGTAACGCAATGTAATGTAACGCATAGTAACGTATAGTAATGTAATGTAACGCATAGTAACGCATAGTAACGCATAGCAATGTAATGTAACGCATAGTAACGTATAGTAATGCATAGTAACGTATAGTAATGTAATGTAACGCATAGTAACGCATAGTAACGCATAGTAACGTATAGTAATGTAATGTAACGCATAATAACGCATAGTAACGCATAGTAACGTATAGCAATGTAATGTAACGCATAGTAACGCATAGTAACGCATAGTAACGCATAGTAACGTATAGTAACGCATAGTAACGTAATGTAATGTAACGCAATGTAATGTAACGCATAGTAACGTATAGTAATGTAATGTAACGCATAGTAACGCATAGTAACCCATAGTAACGTATAGCAATGTAATGTAACGCATAGTAACGTATAGTAACGCATAGTAACGTATAGTAATGTAATGTAACGCATAGTAACGCATAGTAACGCATAGTAACGCATAGTAACGTATAGTAATGTAACGCATAGTAACGCATAGTAACGTATAGTAATGTAATGTAACGCATAGTAACGCATAGTAACGCATAGTAACGTATATCAATGTAATGTAACGCATAGTAACGTATAGTAACGCATAGTAACGTATAGTAATGTAATGTAACGCATAGTAACGCATAGTAACGCATAGTAACGTATAGTAACGCATAGTAACGCATAGTAACGCATAGTAATGCATAGTAACGTATAGTAACGCATAGTAACGCATAGTAACGCATAGTAACGTAATGTAACGCAATGTAATGTAACGCATAGTAACGCATAGTAACGCATAGTAACGCATAGTAACGTATAGCAATGTAATGTAACGCATAGTAATGTATAGCAATGTAATGTAACGCATAGTAATGTATAGTAACGCATAGTAACGCATAGTAACGTATAGTAACGCATAGTAACGTATAGCAATGTAATGTAACGCATAATCAGGGTTGGGAGGGTTACTTTGTAAATGTAATCAGTTACTGATTACTGAATACATGGCTCTGAAAGTAATCCGAATACAGTTACAGTTACGTGTCTTAAAAAAGTAACGTAATCAGATTACTTTTGGATTACTTTCTTTATCCATCACAGATGGGTATGTTTTGGTGAACAGGAGACACACAAAGCAAAAGGAAACTGAACGTGTTTTTACTGTTTTAATGGCTTATCAAGAGCAACTGAAACATAACATCTGAAACGATGAAACAACATAATACACTTTTTGGGGATGCAGCTTGGGATGTGAGGAGTGAGGGACACGGCTTAGAACGGGCGTGTCGCCTTCTGTCCTGCCAGTGTTGGCAGGACATGAATTAAAATGTCAAACTCTGACTTCATTTTAAGGACATTTTGGCCAGGGGTGTAGAGCTATATTTGTTTAAGCATCGGATTGGCAAAACAGGAGAGTGTTTGCACCAGTCTGCCTTTAGTCTGTTCTTGTATATTTTGTTTTATTGTAAAATGCCTTTTATGCTGCTGTAACAAAAACAATTTCCCAATTTGGGATCAATAAAGTACGATCTATCTATCTATCTATCTATCTATCTATCTATCTATGAATTCATGTCCGCGACACTCACAGTATCTGCTGCCCACAGCTGGTTTATAGAAGGAAAACCTCCTTCACTTCATGAAATCTCTGCGGCACCAGGAGGCAGCGGGAGGGTTAACTCAGCCTCTGAGAAGAGGAGCGTGCAGTGCCTTTCACGCACCGCCTTCACTGCGTTTACCTTCAGAGTCATTAGAAAGGCTAACGAGCGACCGCAGGCTGATGTGTTTTAACCACACACACCTCTACACACACACACACACACACACACGATTTAAACGCAGACTTTTGTTCCTCCATGTTTCGTTTTCAATTTTTTTTCAAACGCTCCCTTTTTTGGTCCATCTGCGGCAGTAATAGGTTTTGTGCGCTGTGATGATTCGACTGTACCTTTAGTAATGAATATTAAATGTTGTGAGGAAATCTTTCCACCAATAATTCCAATAAGTAATCCAAAATGTATTCACTTCAGGTTTACGAAAGTAACTGTAATCAGATTACTCGTTTTTCAAATGTAACGCGAGCTGAATACAGTTACTTGATTTTTGTATTCGGATTACGTAACGCCGTTACAACCCAACCCTGCGCATAGTAACGTATAGCAATGTAACGCATAGTAACGCATAGTAGCATAATGTAACGTATAGTAACGTATAGTAATGTATAGTAATCAGTGTTGGGTGTAACGCGTTACAAAAGTAACGGAGTTACAGTAATGTATTACTTTTTGCTGTAACGAAGTAATGTAACGCATTACTAATGACATTTGGGTAATATACTACCCGTTACAATTCTCAGTAACGCAGTTACAACTCATTTTAACCCAAAATGAAATGGTGTTTTGTTTTTTAAGAATTCACTAACATCGCGAGACATTCCGACACTAGAGAAAAATTGTGCCGGTAGATTAGTAAGCCTGGTGTTTACGTAATCAGTCAGGCTGATCTTGATGAGCCTGAAGGGTGCTCTGTTCCCCATAATGACTAAGTCGCTGCACATTATCCCGCTTATTACACGGCCAGATACTAAACAAACTAAGGAATCGACTCCCAATATTAATTGAAATGATTTTATTGACTTAAAATGATCGTATTTCTTCCACTAAGAAAAAACAAAACTGTTCCACGGCGCACCAACGGCTGGAACTGCGACAACAACTCTACGGCAGCACTGTCCAACTCTGTTCACAGTTTCTGATCCAATAACAAGTCCTTAAACACTGCAGAGCCCATACCGTGTTCCTGTTACGGCCCCTACACACGGCGGCGTGCGTTGACGTATAGTAACGTAATGTAACGTATAGTAACGTAATGTAACATATAGTAATGTATAGTAACGTAATGTAACGTATAGTAACGTAATGTAACGTATAGTAACGTAATGTAACATATAGTAATGTATAGTAACGTAATGTAACATATAGAAACGTAATGTAACGTATAGTAACGTATAGTAACATGATGTAACGTATTGTAACGTAATGTAACGTATAGTAACGTATAGTAACATGATGTAACGTATTGTAACGTATTGTAACGTATAGTAACGTAATGTAACGTATTGTGTAGACTTTATTGAACTTCTGCTACCCAGTAGTTAATAAATTATTAAAATAATGAAGTTTTTTCTCTTGATGGATTAAAATGTAATTATTTTCTTTTTATATTGCAATATAATCCTAAAACACAACCACAAACTGAATACATATATTTACATATTTACTGCCAATTATTTAATAGTATTTTTTGCAAGTTAAAACCTAGTGATTCAAATACAGAAAGATAAATAATAAAATAAACAACTTAATATATAAGATTCTTTTTTCAAACACACACACATGTATAAATGTGAATATTAATATGTGCATATAAACATGTCTGTATGCAGTAAATAGTCCTATACATTTATATAAGGTGAGTTTATCATTTACTTAGAGTAAAGTTCCAAATGAAGGACACACGCGCGCGCACACACACACACACACACGCACGCACGCACACACACACTCACGGATCTTGGCCACGCTGGCCACCAGCAGCCAGCAGGCGATGATGTACGGAGTCTGCACGTAGCTCCACTCCCACTGTACCACCCGGAACCCCCCGCCGTGATGAGGCTCCTCCTCCCCGGCCTCCTGGTCCCCGGGCCCGGCCTCAGGATCCACCGCGGACCGGGGCAGCGCCACCGGAGCCCCGCGCTCCTCCAGGCCCGGCCCGCGGAGCACCGGGAGAACCAGCGGGGCGCCGGGCACATTCTCCCCGGGAGGGTCGGCCTCAGAGCCGGGCAGCAGCAGCAGCATCAGCCCGAGCAGCAGCATCTTCCTCCGGAGCTCAGCTTGCAGACATCCACCTTTATACACGGAGCACCAGAGAGGACACACACTCTCTCACACACACACCGGTCACAGCAGCAGCAGGAGGAGGAGGAGGAGGAGGAGGAGAAGGAGAAGGACGACATGTGACCTGCTTTAAAGAGACGGACACACTGCAGGTGTAACACCGGGACACACCGGGACAATAACTTTATACACCGATGAGAGTACTAACAGAATACTGCATTAAAATAAACAGTAATACTACTTCCACTACTGCCGTCTGACGTCAGACTCCTGTCGTGAAACCTCTGACGTCAGATCTATCCTGACACGAGACTGACGTCATTGTTACGTGTGGTGTGTGTGTTTATATTAGACCCTCCATCACACAGTGTTATTCTCAGTAGATCTCATTTGAAAATGATCATGACATTAATGACTAAATGCTACCTAGCAACAGCGAAACATCTAACTGGAATATAGAAATTATAGAACATTATTTTTATAATTATTATATCATTGAAGTGCATGAAAGTGAAAACACATCTGGACTCTTTTTACACTTTTCCCTGTATTCCTTATAAATAAATGTTTTTATTATTTTGTATTATTAATGTATATATTGTTTTAAGCGACCTCTTGGAAATGTCTTAAATGATTTTATGTGATCTGGATTTTAAACCGTGTTAAATGTGTAAAAGTCACACCAATACAATCCACCCTGACCCCATGAATAAAACCGAGTCGTGTTGTTCATCAAACACCTTTATTATCATGGATTAAAACACACCTCAACGTTCCTCCGGCTCGTTAAATACTTTGTCCTGAAAACAGAGACATGAACACAAACTCAAAAACACAAAATGATACCAAAGATATTGAATCCTATAATCTGCACACATCAACACTGAGAGCAGAGCGGGGTCACATTCAAAGAAACGACCTTCATACCTTTTCATCTGGACTGCGTGTTTACATTCAACTGTTCATTTCATCCAGATATTACATTCTGCAGTGATCTTATCAAACATGATTATTGCTAAAGGAATAAATGACCCGTAAATAAAGCTTTTATTCAGAATTCAATGGTTAAAAGGGACATTTTATTACAACACTTACAAACACTTTCTCGTTTGGAGAACAACTAAAGACTTTCTTGGGGTTTTTATTAAAGTTAATAACTTCATAACTTAAGCTATTAAAAACTTCAGGGATTTCTGTATTTCTCAGGAAACACAGATTTCAAAGCGTTTCAGACTGCCTCCATGCGTCAGAGTGACATGGAGATGAATCAGTGCACCATGTGACCGTGAGTTATAATCTAAACGTGATGCAATAACCTCGTGGTGATTTTAAAACAATGTTGTGATTGGTTTAGAGATGTGCCGCCCCTTAGCCTATGTGTTGGAGCGCTGGCCAATAGGAGCCAAGTGTCGTTAGTGATGTCATTGTGTTCCGGAACTTGTGAATAACACCCATTGAGCTAAAAGAGAGCGAACAAGAGATCATGGAGGCAGTTTGATCTGGATTACAATAATACAATAAATATCTAATATTTGGGGGGGGGGTCTCCTGGATGAGCCCCTGTGGATCGGCCTCAGAGACCCCAGACGTTTCCTCTCAGACCCGATCGTCCATCTTGTTGAGGCCGAGTGCCGCAACCACGTCCAGACTGAGA